GCCATTTATGGAAACTGCTTTGTCCAGTGGATAGAAAAAATAGAATCATGTATCCACTCATACTCCGTAGCTTTTGCATTTTTTACTCACAAAATTTTTGTCTCATTTTTGTTTTTCTGTTTTTTTTTCGATTATCGAGTGCACCTTTAATCAACAAAATACACTTTTATTTTTGGAAAAATACTTTTACCAAACTTATTTTAGAATTGTGCAAAAAAATACAGATTTAAAAATAAATCATTATCATTTTATATTTAGAACCAGTCTTTCAATTCCCGATCATTTAAGTCTACATAATGTATTATTTAACTATAAAAAATGAAAAGTTATCCAAAATGAACAAAATAACATTGCGATTATTAATTGTTTTAACAAACAGGCATAAACGCCTTTATACCAAAAAGACAAAAATAAAAAACGATTAAAACAATACATATAAAAACCCCAGTTATAACCAAATAATATACCAATTTTTTTTATAAAAGAATCATTTCAGCAAATAATACATCTATAACAGACTTTGATGACGTAAGGCAACGGGAAATAATATTAGATCGGTTTTTATAAAACCCCCAATCTCAAAAATAATAAAAAATCATCTATGAAATCTTGCGCTTGGCTTTTAATCAGGCTATTATTACATGGTAGATTATTTTTATGTATTTTAATGTTCTGTTGTTTATTATTAGTTTATTTATAATATTTTTACAACCATATTTTATTGATAATTTTTAATTTACAATTTATTATTATTAAACTATATAGAAAATGATATAAACCTAACCCACCATAAGAACAATTCATTTACAAATTTTTATGTTTTGATTATTTTGAATTGAATTAATACTCCAATTTTGAATTATGGGATTCATTTTATTTAACTAAATGAAATGTAATAATATTATAAATAATAAATAAAATAAAAATAATAATTAGCAGACCATTATATTAATTAACACTATTACTGATGTTTATATTTTCATGTTTGTGGTGATTATTTACAATAATAATAACAATGAATATAATGATATAAACAACTTAAGCTTTTTTATTCGGGTGTAAAAGAATAAAAAAATAAAAATTATTGTCATGCCTTATAATTACCATTTTAAAATGTATCAGTTAAGCATGGTAACTATAGTTTTGATATGGTTAATTGAAATATTTTTATCGATTATCAACTTGGAGTAGTCAATTAATTGTAAATTAGTATTATTTTGTTTATTTGGTTCTCTTCATCATTGTTATTACTATAAAAGTCGTTGAAGAAGTTGTATTATAATAGTAATAATTTATGTTGAACTTTTGATTTATAGTCGGGTTTTACAACATTAATAAAAATTGTTTCGACTGGTTAAACAATTTTTAAATTTGAACTTATCAATAAACATACTAAAACACACACAACAATATGAAATACAAACATGGTGTGTTGTCTATTACTTTATTGAAAAATTCCTTTAAATTGAAATGTTTTTGAGACGATATCTTTTTTTATTTCAAAAAAGTGTATTAAAATATCAATTAACAAAATCATATTTTTTATTGTTTAATTATTTTTGTTTTACTTACTTTGTTGAGTGTTTTAAAATTGCTGTTTATAAGTTACACTAATCATTATTTGTTGGTGCGCAATTAACAAAATTACTTGTCGAGCATAATTTTTATCAAAGTAATAATTGAATTAATTTGAACAATTAATTATTTAATTTTGTTGTGTTTTATTCAAAAAATGTGAAAAGGTAATCTTATCATTATATTGAAGTTTATAACAATTATTGTTCCAACATTAAATTCACAATATTTATTGTATTCACTGATACCTTCTCTGTTATTTACATTGTGTTTATTTTATTATTGATGGAGATTTGGGCACTTTTAATTCATTATATTATTGCATTTCTTTAATTATTTTGTTTCGAACAATACTTTAAATAACTATTTAAAACAAAACACTTTATACTTATTTAAAAACATTGTAGAATAAAAAAGTCGCAATATGATTACATTTTGATGGTTGATACTATTACAAATACAGTATAATCCGGGTTTAATTCCAGTCCGGGTTTAATTAAATAATCGGGTTTAATTCATTCAAAATTAATTAAACCCGAAGAAAGAAAAAATGATAAAAACAACACTTTTGAGTTTTATTACCATAGTCTTGTTTTTGTTTAAATTTATGTAAAATAATTGGGTTTTCACCTAAATTAATCAGAATATTTGTTTTTGAATAAAAATGCATTATTTTTGTTTCTGGAACTATTTTTTGGTACTATTACATTATAAATTACTTATTATTTAATAATAAATAAATAAAAAAGAACATAATAAACTCTATTTTTATTCGTTTTCATTTATTTAAACACACTTGTTTCCACCACCGCATTAACAAAGTATTTGCCGCGAGTGTTTTTTGAATGAAGTCCACTTTTCAGCCACTGTTTGTGCGTCCCCATGTCACCACTTTCCTCCTCCGTACTGTTTGGACGCGGATGTGGTCCCTTTTCAAACGGGGCGTTCATTGGGATCTGTGCTAAGGAGGACATTGAAAGTGTGTGGAACGGGTGCACAAACAGACCGCCTGTGCCTTCTTTTCGATATTTGTCTCACTCGGTTTCCACTGTTTCGAGGTGAATTATCAACACATTTTTAATTCGGGAACCAGACCAATTATTATCCCAAGCTCCCATTTACTAAAATTTTAATTAAAATATTATATTAAATAGTTAAAAAAAACTTTATTTTTAGAGACGATGAAAAAGCCTTTACCATCATCATTTGTTTTTGGTTGAATCAGATAATTATTAAATAATTATAACTATGAAACTACCGAAAGTTAATTCCATCAATTATTTTTGATTTAAAAACCATTTAAAAAAATTTTCTTGAAAAAAGTGGAATTAAACCCGATAGTTCCAAAATATTTTAAGTGAATTAAACCCGGATTATACTGTACTTCTTCAAATTATAATTAAATATTAAATTCAATGTTTATTATAATTTTAATGAGAGTAACATGTTTCGAAAAATAACACTTTTGACATTTTTATGTTTTATTAATCATATATTTCTACTTTTTGTTTATTCATTTTTTAATTTCTTTTGTGGACAACTTTAAATTAACCACTTTATCATTTAATTAACTTTTTATGCTTTCCTTTTGTTCTCTTATTTGAAAAAAAACATATGAATCAACAATCACAAAGTTTTTGTGTATTTTTTTGTTAAACAAATGCTCTTCCATGATTCGTGTACTTACTGTGTTTAAACGGTAACAATCAATTGATTTTGAAAAGTTTAATCTTCAACTTCATTGAAATTACCGAAATACAAGAAAACAAAAAAAAACGTATAGCAATTGTGATAATTATGTGAAAACATTTTATTAATTGATTTTTACAAAATCAATTTGTTTTCTCTTTACAATTATTTATCATTCAAATTAAAATTGTTTTATAACAGAATAAGAACATAAGCAACATTATAAATAATATAAACAAGATGTGTGTATTATGTAAACTTTAACTATATTAAATTTGTATTATATTCAACTCAACTATTATGTATTTTTCCAAATAATTATCTATAAACAAACCAAATTCTTTGACTTTTTATTTTTGTCTATTTTACTCGCCATTTTAAATTACATGAATGTTGCTGTTTTCTGTTCACAATTATCATAATTATTTGAAAAATCTCGTTTTTTATACATAAATTGATAAACTTGATTTTAAAGACTAGTCTTTATCAGTTTAATGAATAATTTGAATTGATAATTTTATATGTGTATATTGTTTATGAGTTTAGATCAAATGCTATTGATTTGAATAGATAAACTTGATGTCAAAATAACGTTTATAATAATAAAACCATTACACTTTATTTACAAACAATCATAAATACTCCAACCACTTTAATAAATTTCTTAATGTTTTATGTTTATTTAAAACATAGATCTAAATCCTGTTATTTTTATTGAGTATTTTGAAGGTTTCTGATAAAATTATCTCAAAATTATGATGGTGGACTTTTATGAATTATCAACACTATCCTTTTTCAATAATTTTGTTGTTGAAAAAAATACTTATTCAATGAATACTCTATAATATCTGATTATTCTTCAATCTATACTTATTATAATTTATTATATTACCACTCTTAACTGTATTATCCACATTAAGAATATACTAAATGTAAAGTTAACACTTCAATGTTGATTATATGTTTAATTGTCTATTGATATTTCACTTTTTATTTATTTGTTTTATTATATTTCTTTTGTGGACTGCTTTCTATTTACCACTTTATCATTTAAATATCATCTTATGCTTTATTTCTGTTCTTTCATTTGAAAATAAGTTAATCAACAATCACATTGTCTTTTGGTCAACTTAATTACATGAAAAAACATGATTTATTTTTGTTCAATATTTATTATATTTCAATTATTATTTAATTAAAAAATAAGTTATACACATTAAACTTCTTGTTTTTTGTTGTTGCAAATATGTTTAATATTTTTATAATGTTATTTTAATAACAAACTTATCATCTAAAAAAATATAAATAGTTTTTTATTTTCTTTAAAGGTTTTATTTTTACATTCGGCATTTTGAACAAAATAATAACCAAAAAGTGAAAGATTTATATTGTTTCTTCATAACATTTATTATTTTACAAAAACACTTCCAATTTTAGATTATTTACTTTGAGAAAAATAAGTTGGTAAAGGGAAATGCACTTTTGGGCAAAATTGCTTGAAAAAAGACTGGGTTTTTAAAAAATGCAAAAGCTACGGAGTATGACTGGATGGGTCTCATCCAGTCATATGTCTTTAAAACATAAAAAGTTTTATAAACAAAATAATAAAAAAGACCCATAAATAACACTAACTATTTGCAGTGAATAGTTTTGAATGAAAACAATTGTTTTGAAATATGGAATTACACAATTTTCTATAAAAAAGAACCTTGAAACAAACAATGACTCATTTTGAATTACGCGAAGATAGGAACGAAATATTGTGTGGCAGCATTATTACTGCATTTTGTAGCATATATTTGATAGCTTGAACCCACAGTGGTCAATTTTGCATTTCCATCCCAAGTGGATCTTCTTTCCGTTGGTGTTTTAGCTTGATAGCAGAGGGCGTAATCATAATTATTTTGGTATGGGATATAGAAGTGTTGTTTGTATTGAGCGTAAGTAGCAGTAGTTGGGTATCCAGCGTATGGGTGGACATAGAGGAATCTTTGGTTGTTAGTTCCTTCATCCAAAGGGGGTTTCTTAGCCCAAATGATTAAAGTGTATCCTTCGAAAGCACCGCGTCTGATATCGTGAACTCTTCTAGGGATAGGGAATGAGATGAACATCTTGTAAGGAGCAAATTCCCAGAACTGAAGTTCGTTACCCATGTTAATTGGTCGTAACAAGATGTTCTGCTCGTACTCGCCCCAAGCCGCTCTAACCTTGTTTCTGTTATCAAACTCCATATCCATCACATAACGTGTGTTCATATCATTGGTAGTAAATCTCTTTTTTGTCACATAATTGTAGTCGGACGCAAATAATACTCTGCAGCATGTTGTGCAACTTGGTCTGGAATACTGCTCATTGCCAGCAGTAAAAACATTGGACTCTGGTCCATGCACAACTTGGTAATCATCACCACTTGTGAAGGCCAGTGTGGCTGCTATAAACAAGTAAAGCAACATGAATTAAGTTCACAAGAAGATGGATTAAATAAGTGGATTGTATATATAGATTCAACGTGTTTTCTTTGTCCCGTCTTAATAAGGTCTTTTCGATTTGTTGTGGGAAAAAGCACTCTTGAAACTTGTAAAACATTTTCGCACCTTTTTGTTTCTATTTTGGGGCTTTGTGGTTAATTCGACTTTTCCATTCGGTGTTTTTGATAAAAATGAGTTTGTAATTGGTCAATTTATATGAAAAGAGATGGGTTTTATTTGGTTAATACACTGAAACACATCCCAAAATTGTTAAACGTTTAAATAAAGATACAAATTTCGTGTAAAATGACACTGAAAAGAATTGAATTTGATTGACAAATGCATTTTCGAGTCATTTTCTAGTCATTTTAACGAAATCTCAGATTTTTTTATTATCTTTTTCTTTTCAAAATGTTTTGTTTTGTTTTAAGTGTAATTTGGAATTTATTTTTTGAATAATTACAGGGCTCGTGTTTTATTTCTCAGGTAAAACACATCACCATTTTTACCACAATAAAAACTCCTTTTTTGACTTTTTGAATTAATAAAACATGTTCTTAAGAGAACATGTTTTTTTAAATAATAAAGGTTTGAAATACAGGTAATGATATACAATTTGTTGTCTAGTCTACATATTATATTTGTAATAACGCCGAATATTCCTTTTTGATTTAATAAATGAATAAAAACACTCAAATTTGCATGATTTTATTCATTTTTTAAATCAAAAAGGAATAATGAAAAGGAGTAATTTTGAAAAAAGATATACAGATAGATAAATTATTGGTTGTCATGAAAATAATGTTATTAAAAACAAAAAATCGATTTTTTTTTCAAAAATTCTTTAGTGTATACCTTTGGGAGTCAATTTTTACAGCCCGAAATAGAACAAAATTTGAAAAAAATATAATTAGCAGTTCCGACTAGGACATGTTTCCCGATTTTGGTTTTAAGTTTTATGTAATTTTTGTTTGTTGAATAACAAAAAGAACGCTCTAAAGCTGCCACGTCATAACATTTTAAGGATAAATTGCGAATGAAAAAAAACAGACCAATCAGATTCAATCAGATCTATAGATAGTAATTATTATCAAAATTATAAAATTAAATATATTTTATTATCTGTTTAACAAGTTGTTTTTTTAAATTAAATTTATCAATCTATTGGAAACGTGTTTTGTAGTTATAATGTGAAAGTCATTTTTAACCTAAGGAAAAAACAACTAGAAGATATTGATTTAAATATGGAAGAATTTGAATTTGATGAAACTGAAAGATCATTCAAATTATTCAAGACAATAATACAATCACTGGAATGTTGGGAAAGTGCTACTACTTTGAGAGGAATCATTTCTTCATTTCGTCAATGTGGATTTGAAACTCTATTGACTGAAAATGGTTGGTTTGTGAGATCAAATCCATTAAAATGAAGAGAATTAAAAAGAAGAGAAGATATGTGTTCAGGGATGATTAAATTTGAAATTAGAGATGTTAAATTAAAAAAAAGTGGAAGAGTAATTGGTGAAAGAAAAAGAAGAGCATCAAAAAGAAATATCATTGAAGAAAAGTATGAAGCAAAAAGAAAAATTGGTGAAATTGTTTATGGATTAGTTGATACAGATTTAATGAAAAAAATTTCAAAATGGTTTAATCAAAACGTCAAAAATCAATGTTGTTTTGATGGTTATACATCACAAGTATTTTTTAGTAAACCATCTTATATTATTAAACAAAAGAAATTTAATTCCAAACATTACTACTTTCCTTTTCTTTGTGACCATCATTGGGTTCTTTATATTGTTGATTATATTAAAAATTTGATTTTCTACGTTGATTCATTTGACAAAGAAATTTATGATAATGATATTAAAAAGGATTTATCAGTTTTTTGAAATTTGAATTCAAAATAAATGATGTTAAAAAATTCAAGTTCCAATTCAACCAAATGGTTTTGAATGTGGATATAGAGTAATGGAATCAATCGAAAAATACCACAACAACAATATTGAATATAAGCTGTTCAATCACGATGAATTCTTGAACATATGGATTCCAGAAATGATAAAAAAACTGAATTTTAATTGATTTTTTCTTAAATATTTTTTTATAATTAAATATAGTAAAATCAAAAACCATTTATTCTAAACTGGAACTTAAAAAAACAATAAATAAAACAGAGAAAAGGAAACATCAATGCTAGGTTTGTTTTGTTTTGTGGATTAAAAATCGTTTAACCACCTTTTAGAAATACTAAAGAAAAAAAGCCTAAGAAGAAAAGTTTAAGAAGAAATCTCTTGATTTTTTTGGAACTTGAAAATATTAATTAGATTAAATTTTTAATAGGAATTGCTATTTTTACAAAGTGTTATTTCAAGTTTTTGTGTTTTATTAATAACAATAATAAATTTTGTGTTTTATAAAACAAAACAATAATAACATTTTCTTCGAATTAAGGAAAAAACAGGGGCTTCATAATTTTTACTATTTCTGCCCTAATACTTTAAAAGTCGCCCACTTATTTTAGGCACTGTAGTTTTTTTAGAATATAACTTTATTTTTGTAAATTGATAAATAAAAAATTGTTATTACAAAACTCGAAAATTAAAATGTTTTTGTCTACAAAAACTGTGAAAGGGAAACAAGAACCCTTATATTTTTGGGAAAAAATGAATGTGAGAATTGATAATGTACCAGAAGTTGACCCAGTACAATTCCAGACCATTCAGCAAGATCGAGACTTTACTGATTACTTTAAAGTGTTTTTAGTGACGAAATGAAAGATATTATTATTGAATCAACTAATTTGGCTGGGAAGGTTTTATATGAAGAGAGATGGAAAGACCTAAATGTAATCGAATTAAATTCATTCATTGGGTTTTTGTTATATATGGGGGTTGTCCACGATTCAAAAAAGAGTCTCAATTTTCTTTACAACCGAATTGATGGAAACAAATTTTACAGAACGATAATGTCAAAAACAAGATTCTTGCAGATCATGAATTCTTTGAGGTTTGATAAATTTGCAGGGAAAAGAATAAAAAAAGAAAGAAAGAAAAAAAGCAATGGAAGTTGATAAAGTGTATACAAAGAAAGTGGAAAAGAAGAATGAGAATAAAAGTTATGGAGATTACACGCATATATCAGAACTGCAAGATGAAGTATTGAATGAAGAGTTGATAACAAACACTCAACAATGGGTTGATATTGTAAAAGCAACACAAAACTCAGAAAGTGACTCTTCAAGTGAAGAAATTGAAAAAGAAGACGAAAATTTGGTTTTGGAGGACGAAGATGAAAATGTCAACGAGGAAAGTGGTCTTTTAGATGAAGAGTCTTGTGTATTTGATAACAAGCACTATTTTTTGGTGAGTACATTCTTTGAGATTTTTATTTCAAATATGAGATCTTATACCAAAAATAACTCATTACAAAGTTTATTTTGCATAGATGAACAACTGGTGAAATATTTTGGTCATTGTAAATTTACCCAATTTATACCAACAAAACCGGGAAAATACGGAATGAAAGTATGGACAATGGTTGACAACATTTCTGGTTTGGTGTGTAATTCGGAGCTATATTTAGGAAGTGTTGCTGGTAATGAAGAAAATTACATTGAAAATTTGGTGATAAAAATGATTGATACTTTGATATTACCAGATTTTTTGGTAGGTAACCAAACAACGTTGTATATTGATAATTTATTTACAACAGTGGATCTTGCTGTCAGATTAAAACAAAGAAATAATGACGTGGTTGGAACTTGCCATAAAAACAGGACTTTTGTGCCATCAATTTGTCGAGAAATCAAACCTTACAAAAGTTTTATTTGTTTATTATTGGTAAAACAAGCAGCAACAGACGAACCACCAACACACCCCCCTTTTTGAACTATTTTGACAAAAAGAAAAAGGCAGTTACAATGTTGACTTCAAAAAAAGAATTGATGTTTTTTGATAAAATAAAATGTATTTTTGGGATTCAAAATGCATACAACAAGGGAATGGGGGTGTTGATATGGTCGATAAAATGGTGAGACACTTCAGTTGCAAAAGAGGTACAAGAAGATGGCCATTGGCTTTATTTTTCAATTGTTTGGATATTTGTGCAAATAACGCTTTCAAAATATCGGGAAATTCGACAAGAGAATCCTTTTTGTTGCGTTTGGCCAAACAAATGTGTAAACCTTATGCCTTGGATAGAGTAAATAAGTCAAAAAGAAAAAATTTGGGTAATCTTCTTGAGCTCGAAGTTATTACCAGAAGTGACTTTCCTGTACTGTTTACTCAAACTGGTGCAACAGAAACATTTCAAATACCAATTTGTTGCTTTGTTCCTCGTAAAGTGCTTGTTTCTGAAACACCTTACGTGAAAATGGAAAAATACAAAAAGAGAACCGCGAATCAAACGGCAACTAAAGATGGAGATGTTGTTTATAAACAACGAGGTAGAAGAGTTGGATCAACCAAACACGATCCATTAGAAGTCAAATTTGCTACCCAAAAGAATTGTTGTTGTTGTGGTTCCGTTGATGGGTCTAGAGGCTCTATCGCGAGAAGTTCAATTGGTTGTTATTTTTGCAAAGACCCAACTTGTAGTCTTCACCGTGTTACTCTGTGTTTAAAGTGTTACAATTAATTTGTTTTTATTTTAAGGTAATAACAAAATTTTTAATTAATTTTTGTTTTTTTTTATTAAAAAATAACGATTTAATTAAATCGGTTTCATACTCCTAAGGTTAATAATACTTAAAATAATCAAAAAATTGATAAAAGCTACGATGGTGTATGAACCTGACATAAGAAACACAGAAAGAAGCCTTAAATTAAGACCTGATTTTGATTTGAGACAATAGAACAAATTAATTAATGAGGGGTTTAAATAGAAAGTTTAAAAAGAAAACAAAATCAACTCAAGAACTTTTCAAGAGACACAAAACAAGAAAAAACAAAGCGAACACCCTTCAACCTTAATAAAGTCGAAGAGTGTTACTTTTGATACTTTTAATTTATTTATTAATAACAAAAACTATTAATTAAACTATTAATAAAATTTGATAAATCCAAAATCTGATTGAATCTTGTTTTGTTTTTTGAATTTTCAATTAAAATAAACTATATTTTATTAATTAATTATGGTTTATTATTATTTACAAAAACATTTTTGGGAAGATAACCGAAGTGCTGCTGAACTATAATTTCCAATGGACAATATCTATAATTATACTATAATATTTAGTAAGTTTTTATTATCATACTAAAAAAACAAAACGGATTGCAATCAATTATCAATTTAAATTAAATAGAAAAAGAATTGAAAAACGAAAAAAAAAACATATGTCAAAGTTTCAGTGCGATGGACAATTTGGTATTTTAACGGTGAATGGATTAAATCCTTGTTTTGAGAATTATATATTAACTCCACTTCTTTCAATCATTTCTTTAATTTCTTTTTTCTATTTCTACAAACAACCTTTAGTGAGAAATGTATTCAGCGAACTCTACGATGTCGTGTTTTTAATTCTTTCTATACTCTTCGGGATATTTATGACTTATGAATTTATCGTTGTTCCTCAACACTTTGCAGAGCTTTTGATGGTAATAATTATTACATATTCATATTACCATTCGTCACAACAAATGCTCCAAATAGCACTTTCTTTGACGCTCTGTGTTATTGTTTGTTTCCACGAATACACAGAGAAAATGTGTTTAGAGTTATCGGAGCGCTTCTTAGTGGTCTTCACATGTGTTACATTTGTTTTACACACGGCGCGGAGGTTTCTGTGTCTTCCGACATTAGTCCTCCCGAGTACAAAAATGATTTCATACAAAATTGGTTCTTCGTTGAAATTCCACAGCTTCTGCGTGTCTGCAAAATTCGAGTGTTCTCGCGAGACGATTTACCAAAAGTTCCCCTCACAGACTTTTTCCTTTCAGACTTACTTAAGACGAAGTCGTTGACTTTATCATTGTGTAAATTATACTTAATACCCGTAGTCAAGACACTTCCGTACTTCATTGTTCTTGCGTTGTTAAATTATTCGACTCCAGCGATTCAGCGTCGGATCCTCAAGAATTTAGAAGACAATCAGTCTATAGTACTTTTATCATTTGTCCTCTTACTCTGCCCACTTCTCTCGGCACTCTTCAGAGCTCACCACATGCACTTACTCACACTGATCCGTCTCAAAATGAAGAAAGAGTGTATTGAAGTATTGTACTCCAAAATGTTGAAGTCGATGAATGTAGAGTCGTCGACGTTAGTCAACTTGGTTTCAATCGATTTGGAAAAGATCACTATGATCTTCACTGCGGTCCATGCGTTTGTAGACACTCCTCTCTCTTTAATAGTTTGTACTTCAATGCTTTATTATTTACTTGGGAACGCTATCTTCTATGGACTCTTTGCACTCTTCTTGTGCTTCATTCTAATCCTTTGCTTGTCAAAAATACAACGGAAATTGCGAACACAACTGATGATGTTACGAGACGAGAGAGGGAAGGTCATTGCAGAGATGCTCTCGAATATCCGTGGAATCAAGTTAGAAGGACTTGTCGACTTAGCACAGCAACGCGTTGAAATGTGCAGAGCTCGGGAGCAAAAGTTGATCCTCAAACTTTCTGTAGCAGATGGGTGTTTGTTCTCGGTGACATCTGTTTTACCCGTGGTCATCTCAGTGGTGACATTTTACTTCAGTTTGAGAAATGGAAAGGAAGTGACCCCATCGACCGCATTCCCGACACTCACGCTGTTCCAAATGTTACAACGCCCACTTGGATTTTTACCAATGCTCATCGTGCAGTGGACGGAAGCCAAAGTTGGGATTGAGCGAATGCAAAAGTTCTTAGCAAAAGAAGAAATTAAAGAGAAAGATGTGTATGAGGATGAGATGTATCCCATCTGCATTAAAGGAAATTTCTCATATGAAGCAATCGATGACAGAGCAAATGAGTCAGAAGCAACTGCAAAGGATGAAACACCAATAGTAACAACTAATAGTAAAAATATAGTTTTACGAGATATCAATATGAAAGTGAAAAAGGGAGAGTTGGTGGTGGTTATCGGTAAAGTGGGTTCGGGGAAGTCAACACTGATCTCTTCGATGCTGGGAGAGACTTTTCGTTCTTCAAAGTCGTTTGTTGGAACATGTGGGAAAGTGGGTGTAGTCTCGTCGACTCCATGGCTCCGCAATTCGTCAGTCTTAGAAAACATTTTGTTCGGCGAAGAGTACAACGAGAAGAAATTGGAGAACGTCATATACAAATGTCAACTTCTCCCAGACATCCAGATGTTCAAAGACGGTCTCTCAACTGAAATTGGAGAACGGGGGGTGACACTCTCTGGAGGTCAGAAACAACGAATCGCCCTTGCTCGAATTATCTATAGAAATTGCGACATTGTCCTTCTTGACGATGTTTCATCCGCAGTTGATCCACATGTAGCCGTGAAATTGTTTGACGACATCATCTTGAATGAACTCAAAAACAAGACTCGAGTGCTTTGCACACATCAATTGCAATTTCTTCAACACGCAGACAAAATTGTTGTCTTGGAGAATAAACGCATTGGGTTCATGGGGACATATGCAGAATACTTACAAACTGCATTTGCCACACAGATGGCAGATATGATCAAGAAGAGTGGCTTACAAAAGAATAGTTTAGTTAATAATAAAAGAATTAGAAATAATAATAAACCAGAGAAGAAAGAAGCTCCACAAAAGAATGTCAATTTGGCCCAAATGACACCAGGCTTACAAGAACTTGTGAAGGAAGAAAATGCCGACAATTCGTTGATAAAGACAAAAGTGTTTATGAGATACATCCGCCAGTTGGGTGGGATACCTGTTGCATTTTTGTATTTAATCATAGCAGTCCTTCGCAAGGGTCTTTCGACCATCGGCGATTATACATTAACACTCACGCCAATCCCCTTAATTATGTATATAACATTTCACGCTCTCAGTAGCTTATCTGTTGTCTGTAAATGTACAGTAGAGGGTTTCTTTGGGAGTCGAGCGTCCACACGACTCCATAACAATATGTTCTCGAAGATCACACATTCAAAGTTCCTCTTTTTCGACTCGACACCACTTGGGAGGATTTTAAATCGCTTTTCAAAGGATATTGAGACGATCGATGGACCACTGAAAAGAGTCATCTCACAAGTACTTTTCCAAACGACTTCGGTGTTGGCCGTTTTGGTGTTGAATGTCTCGTCGTCGATTTTGTTCTTACCCTTTCTGATACTCCTCTCCCTCTTTTATTTTGAATTGATGCGGTTTTACTTGTCCTCGTCGCAAAATTTGGAACGACTGGGAGCTACGACGAAGAGCCCGATATTCTCCGTAATAACAGAGTCGGGCGCGGGGTTGTCGACGATTCGCGCAATACATGGGACCACATTGCTTCAACACGAGTTGACTGATAAAATTGATTTTCACGTCTCAACTGTCTTCACAAGTCAACTTGTCGAGCGGTGGTTGTGCCTTTGTGTTGATGTCATTGGCGCGTTTGTGATATTTGGAAGTGTCGCTGCGGCTTCATTTTCGTCTGCGAAAGTCGCGGGACTTGCTATTTCATATGCACTGAATGCGACACACTCGTTGGTCTTTTTAATTAAACAGTTTTCGGAATTACAAGGCGCGTTTGTTTCTGTTGAAAGAGTGTTGGAGTATTGCGACTTGCCGACAGAAGACGAGGAGGATTTGAAAATTCAAATTGACGATGTGGAAGAGCAAGGTGACAATTTGACTGACATTCAAACGATTAAAACAGCACCACCTGATGCTATTGAAATTGAATTAGAGAATGAAGGGACACCAAAAGTGGAGACTTGTGAACGTCCTAAGGGTGTCACTAATGAAGTTTCTGATATTAAAACTTCAATAAGAGAAAAGTGCTCACAGCAAGAAAATAACACACTTTCATCTCAAAATACTTTGAGGTCTTTTGGTCCAAGAACTAAAATTGAACTGCAACAGTTGATTAACAAGAAAGAAATTCCAACAGGAGAAATTGTTTTTAAGAATGTCGTGATGCGATACAGAGAAGAACTCCCGCCGATTCTTAAGGACATTTCATTTGAAATTCACAAAGGAGAGAAAATTGGAATATGCGGCCGAACAGGGAGCGGAAAGTCCTCACTCTTCCAAGTCCTTTTCAGAGCTGTCAATTATGAGAAGGGGTGCGTCACGTTGGATGATATCCCCCTCACCGATTTCCCACATGACTTACTCAGAGAGATAGTCGGAATCATTCCACAGGACCCACTTGTCTTTAAAGGCACGTTGAAAGAGAACGTCGACCCATTCAATAAATTCACAGAGGAGAGTATCAAGGCGGTTGTGAGTAAGTTGGAGTTTGAGAAAACGTTTAGTGACTTAAATGGTAACGTCGAGATGTCTGGAAACAACTTGAGTTCGGGAATGAAACAGATGCTGTGTGTGATCAGAGAGTGTTTGAGAGAGTCAAAAATCGTGTGCTTGGACGAAGCAACAGCTGGTGTGGACTATGAGACAGACCAGAAGATACAAAAGTCTATTCGAATATTAATGAGGAACAAAACAGTCATTACTATAGCACATAGAATACACACAATTATCGATTACGACAGAATCATGGTGATGAATGATGGAAAGATAGTCGAATTTGACTCGCCCGAAAAACTTTTGAATAACAAAGACTCATTATTTGCTCAAATGGCAAAGCAGCAGATGGACGAGTAATATACTTGGCGTTCTTTGTTTGAATACAAATGATTAGAAACATTAATTAATTTTATTAAAGTAAAATTAATTGCTTTTGAATTGATTTTTTAATAGTATTGTTATTATTATACTATTATTATACTATTATTATACTATTATTATGTTTTTCAAACTTTTAACACTATTTAAACATTAATTGGGCTCATTAGAAGTTTTAACTATAAATTATAATAAATTAACCATTGAATATAGTTATGCATTTCAGTTAGACAATGGTCATACACACCTAGTTAAGAGTGTTGATACGATGTTCTTCATGGAAATAGTAATGTGAATCAACGTTTTTAATGGTTGTATAGGCCAATCAAATTAAGAGAATTAAACTTTAATTTGTAAATTGGTATTAATTTATTAGGAAAAGAAGATCAAAAGTTTTCTTGTGGTGTAATTAAAGAGTAACCAATCAAAGAAACATTTTCTGGTTATTGCATTTATTGAGCAATTATATCAACCATTAAGTGGAATTGTCGTTGAAGTACACACTTTTCATATAAATAAAATATATAGGGTTGGCGTTACTATAATTACACAAATAATTTGACTACTTACACGTCTTAAAAGATGTAAAACGCGGGAAAATACCTTATTGTTATATACAAAAACGTTTTCATTTCAAAAAGTGGAATTCAATAGAAGTTCATACACGTTCTTAACACTGAAAAAAAGGAAAAGTCAGTCTTTTATTTGACTGATATTCTCTCAAAAACAACTTATCTGTATGACTGTTTGGTGATATCCCAAATATTTCAATGTAAATTACAAGAAACTTGATAACAAAAACAGACTCAAACACTTTTAATATACTTATACAATAAGTTGCCACTGAACACCACAGAAATTTACAATAAAAAAACTCGAATAAAAATGAAGACCTAAAACAAGCATATAATAGTAAATGTTATTTTCAAGCAAACTAGCTAGATTTGTCCGATCGTTTTAAAATAAAAATGCCACGTCTGTCCACACAGAGAGTGTATTTAAGGATCACATGAACTTGTCTCTTCATTCAAGTCGAAGTAATGTCAACATATGATGTCGTAATTATTGGAGCGGGCTGCGTTGGGTCCTTCGCTGCCTTAGAGTTTTCCAAGTACAAGAACCTCAAGGTTGCTTTGCTTGAGAAAGCAAGAGATGTCTCCACTGGAGCTACTTCTGCCAACTCTGGTATTTGCCACTGTGGTATTGATACCACTTTGGAAACTCTCAAGGGAAGACTTGTAGTCAGAGGTAACACTCTCATCCACGAATTGCATGAGAAGCTCAACTTTGGTATGACCAACTGTGGTGAGTTGATGGTAGCCAAGTCTGAGGAAGAAGTGCCTCATTTGAACAAGTACATGGACATTGCTAAGACTAAAAACGTGCCAGTTGAACTTTGGGACTATGAAAGAGTTCACAAAGAAGAACCAAAGCTTGGAGAGAACATTAAGGCTGCTATCTGGTGCCCAACTACTGCTGTAGTCGATCCGTATGAAATGACAATTGCTGCTGCTTTAACTGCTAAAGCCAATGGTGTTCACGTCTACACATCCACTGCTGTATCTGGTATCAAGAAGATAGAAGGTGGCTATGAAGTCACTGCTGCCAATGGAAAGACTTTCAAAGCAAAAGTCGTCATCAATTCATCTGGTGTCTTTGCTTCAGATGTCTCCAACATGTTGTACCAAGCCGACTTCCATATCACTGCAAGAAAGGGTGAGGAGTATTTACTCGACAAGAAGTTGAAAGGAATTGTGAAGAGTGTGATCTTCCCATGCCCAACTGGTGTCACCAAAGGTACTTTGATTATCCCAACAGTCGATGGCACAGTCATGGTCGGTCCAAATGCAGACAACCAAGACTCGTACACTGAGACTTCTACTACTGGCGCTGCTATGAACAAGATCTTTGATTTGGCAAAACAATTAGTTCCAACTATTAACAACATGGAAGTCATCTCCGCATTTGCTGGACTCAGACCAGCTATTGTTGAGAATAACAACGATTTCATTATTAGAGAGAATGAGAAGTTCCCAGGCTTCATCGAAGCCGTCGGTGTCCAATCCCCAGGGTTGACTGCATCTCCAGCCATTGCCGAGTACATTAAGGGGATCTTTGAAGAGTCTGTCAAGAAGAACCACCCAGAACTTAAGCTTGAGAATAACACTGAATTCAAATACGTCCCACTCTCTACTAAATTTAGAAATATGAACGACGCTGAAAGAGCTGAAGCTGCTACTAAAGACGCTGCTTACTCTAAGATCGTCTGTGTCTGTGAACAAGTCACTGAAGGTGATGTCAATGCTGCTATTGATGAAGGAGCAAGAACAATAGACGCTGTTAAATTGAGAACTAGAGCTGGTATGGGGAGATGCCAAGGGTCTTACTGCACTCCACGTGTCATGGAGATTCTCTCAAAGAGACTTGGGATCCCAATGACTTCTGTTTCCAAGAGCATCTGTGGCTCTGAAATTGCGCCGTATGCTGTCGGCAAAGAAGAGAAACAAGTGTGCAACGACAATGAGTATCCTGCTTGGGAAACAACACCAAAGCCACATGTTAAGAAGCCGACCAATGATGTTGCTTGTGAAAGAAAGGAATTTGATATTGTAGTAGTAGGTGGAGGACCTTCTGGTCTTGCTGCTGCTAAAGCTGCACTTGACACAAACAAGAGTCTGAAAGTCGCTGTTATTGAAAGAATGGACAGAGTCGGTGGTGTCTTGTTGCAATGCATTCACTCTGGATTTGGTCTTGGAAGATACGGAGAAGAACTTTCCGGCCCAGAGTATGCCTATAGACTCGGTGAAGAAGCCAAAGCTGCTGGAGCCGTCTGTTTAGTCAACACATATGTCACTGATGTTGAGAATACCAATGATGAGTATCTTATTAAGGCTGTAGTCTATGGTACTTCCCCCGTCCAGATTCATGCCAAGAAGTGCATCTTCACTGTTGGGTGCAGAGAAAGAAGCAGATTTGGTATTAAGATTGCTGGTACAAGATGTGCTGGTGTCTTAACAGCTGGTCTTGCACAAGCCTTAGTGAATTACAAAGGGATTCTTCCAGGCAAGAGAGTCGTGATTCAAGGCTCTGGTGATATTGGACTTATCATGGCAAGAAGAATGACACTTGAAGGCGCCAAAGTACTTGGTGTCTATGAAATCTGCCCGAAGATCTGTGGTCTTCAGAGAAACGTCGTCCAGTGCTGCAAGGACTTTGATATCCCAATCACACTTTCTACTGTGGTGAATAGAATCAATGGAGCCCCACACTTGACCTCAGTCACTATGACTAAAGTCGATGCCAGATTTACACCAATTCCAGGCTCTGAATTTGACATTGAATGCGACTGCTTGTTACTCTCAGTTGGTCTTATTCCACAACCAGACTTGACTGTTCAAGCTGGACACAACGTTGGATTGAATCCAAGAACTCGTGGACCATTGGTCGATGGTTTCAGATGTGTCGAAAAGGGAATTTACGCTGCTGGCAATCAATTGCATGTCCATGATCTTGCTGATGAAGCTTCTAATGAAGGAGCTATTGCTGGTGAAGCTGCTGCTTTGTCCATTGGAGGCGAGAAGGAGACATTGAAAGTTATTCCAGCCAAGGAGTTACTTTACTGTGTTCCAGATAGAGTCTGTGTTGTTGAACAAAAGCAGAAACTTTCCTTCAGATTTAAGGAGGACTTTGGAAGCGCGACAGTCACTGCTAAAGTTGGTGATGTCGAGGTAGGAAAGAGTGAGATTGAACACGCTCTTCCAGCTGAAATGGGCCATGTCTGGGTCGATGCTCACGCTTGCAAATCTGGCGAACAAGTCACTTTGTATGTTGAGGCACATCCTCATGAGGTTGTTGCCGCACAGACTGAAGGCGAGTTGGTCAAACACATGAACTGCATTGTATGCCCAAGAGGTTGCCCAATTGAAGTCAAGATCGACACAAAGACTAATCAAATCACTTCCGTTAAAGGAAACTCATGCCCAAGAGGTGATGCTTATGTCAGACAAGAACATATTGAGCCATTCAGAGTCTTCTCTACTTCTATGCCAGTCGTTGGTGGCGTTCTTGAAAGAGTCCCATGCAAATTAACTAAGCCAGTCCCAAGATCTAAGATTATGGAAGTCATGGCACAAATCCATGCTCATGAAGCTATTAAGGCTCCTATTACTAAGGGACAAGTCCTTATGAAGATTCCAAAGATGACGGACATTGTTGCTTGCTATCCAGTCACTGTCATCGAGGAATAAAGTAAATAAGACCTTCCATTACCTTTTAGTTCTTTTTTAATTATTTTTTTTATAATAATAGTTTCTTGTTGATACAAACATTGTTTGTTAAAAATAAATTAACTAATAATAATACTTGATAAATTATAATTTATTATTAGTTATTATAATTTATTAAATATTATTATTAGAATGAAAACGGGAAGAACCTATTATAATAAGAAGCAGTGTAATAAATCAATTTAACCAATTTATATCGAAAATAGCATCGAGATTTTGTACGACGGAGAACGCAAATAAGACAATAGAAACAATGAGGACACACCACGCGAGTCGCGTTGAGCTATAAACTCCTGAGAATAGTGTCTGCGATGTGTGTCTTCCGAATTGTGTTCTATACGTCTTCTTAGAGAATATCTGAAACATTGCTGGGAGGATTAAGATGAGGACAAAACCAAATATTCCAGTGAGTCCAAAGATCTTTGATAAATCTGCTTTTATACAGGCTAACACAAGTGGAGGAAACGCCGCAAGACACTTTGCGGAGAAGCTGACTTTGTTTGGGTGGGTGTTATCAGAGTTCAGTTGTGAGATGTTTGAAGCTAACGTTGCGGAGACTAAAGGATACTCCGACGTCAAGTTGACAAGGGGGAACATCAACACGATGAATTGTATTAAGTATCCATACCACCGAATTTTGTGGTCTGGACAGATACCAAACCCGCCGTCACAGCCGGTGTACTCCAACCAATTACTTGTGATGGGGGACACCGTCTTTTTTCCGAAGCATAGAGAACATATTAATCCCAAGACTGTATATACAGATGTTGCTGTCAAGAGTGTTATAAATATGATCTTCTTTAGTTGCCTCTTATCTCTGAGAGGTGCGACGATTTCAGGGATGTTGTGGTGACACGCCAAGGAGACTGAAATGATAGAAAAAGCCGTTCCGAAGCCGGAGATGTTGAAGAGTGTGTTAGGGTCGATGATCTCTTCATCACTTCGAGTTGGCGTTCGCGAGAGAAGACTAATGAATGAAGTAAACACCATCAAGAAGATCGCCGCAAAACGGTAGAGAGTTAAAAACTTCTGGACAAAGGCCTGCTCTGCAATTTCCATGAAAGACATTGGAAGGACTAGTATCGAGAAAATGACAAGGAACCCTAAGTAAGTGACATGACATCTATCGAACCAAGCCCATTCGCCTATATTAGCAGAACATGTGCCATACGCGGGAAAGATGTACTTCCACGCTAATAACGTTGTTGTAGAGGAAAAGATCGAAGAGTACATCCATAACGCACCAACACAAAAGAAAGACAAAACAGTGATCACAAAACGCTTACCCATCGGCCCAAAGTATGTATAGCCCATCTTTGTCACAGACGATGGCACTGTTGTTATCTGCGTGATCGGACGGCCTTCAGATGTTAGGGAATTCAGTCCACACGTCCGGGCTAATGACTCTAACATCCAAAATGCAGTCACACTACAGAGAGCAAAAAAAGTTATTGACATCAAAATGGCGAGTAATATCCCACTCGAGCGAAAGGCATGTGGAAGACCAAATACACCGGTTCCGACTATTAGTTAGGTGTCGGTATGTATATAGAACATATGAAGACAAACCAATAAAATTGATGAGTATACTAAAACATGTCACACCATCATACAGTGGAACAGACTTCACAATTGGAGTCTCTTCAAATAACACAGAGTCCATCATTTACTAGTTCTTTAATAAGAATTTAGTTTGATTTTATTAGAATAGTTTGATATATTTTAATTAGTTAATAAATTAGTATCATATTATATTATTATTTATATGGGTTAATTTAACTTGTTAATTAAAAATATGTGTTAATTTTATTATAAATTACATTTGTTGTCAATTTATTTTAATAAATTTAAAAAATGGATACAACATTTTTATTATTAAATTATAATAATTTATAATAATTTATTGTATTTTTATATTAATTAATGTAATTAATAAAAATAACTACAATTGATAAATTTATAAAAAAAACGGAATTTACAAGTTTTTGAATTTTTAAATTTTTAAATTCCATTTTGCAAATAAAAAATGGAAATAAACGCAAACAAGAAAAACCCTAAATACTTTTATTTACAATGAGTATTCCAATTGATATACAAAATGCTTCTGAAGACAAAATAACAACATCAAACGTTATACCACCAATATCAGAAAACGAACCAAAACCAATTCAAATGGAAGTTGAACAAGACACTCTTTCACAAAACATTCAAACAAACGTGAAAATTGAAAAAATTGAAGAGGGCAAAAATCAAACATCGACAAAATTAACTGACACCCAAGATGAGAAGAAATGTGGTGTGGTTAGACCGAAGCCCGCGAAGCCAAAGAAAGTATTGATACAACTAACCAAACGGAAAGATTACCAAGGGGTAGTAGAAGCAGTTAAATTTCCAAACGAGGGTATAGTCTTACTTCATGGTCGTCGTGTTACAGTGAACAACGTCATTCCCGGGCAAGTTGTTCAATTCAATTTATTGAAAGTAGGTACGAGTAAGTGTGAAGGATACTTACAGAAAGTTATTAAGAAGAGTGACTTAGAGGATGTTGATAATGTGTGTAAACATAATGACGAGTGTGGTGGGTGTACATACCAGTCGATGGGATATCCCCACCAACTCAAATTGAAAGCGGACCAAGTTCAAAGGGTCTTAGAAAAAAAGGTCAAGGACTTTACATTTGAAGGGATTCTCCCATCCCCTGTAACAATTGGATATCGCAATAGAATGGATTTCACATTTGGTGATCGCATGAAAGGTGGGGAATTAGAGTGTGGATTACACAAGATGGGGCACTACAATTCCACGATTACTGTGGACGACTGTAGAATAGTGGACGAGGACTTTATAACAATTCTCAAGTTCAATGTCGATTACTTCAGAAGACTCCACGTCGACTTTTATCACAAGAAAGAGCATAAAGGAGTGTTAAGGAATTTGATAGTGAGGAAGGCCATGAAAACAGGGGAGATCATGTGTGTCTTAATTACTACGACACAGATGTCGATTGATGAAGAACAATACAAAACGGCGTTGTTAAATTTGAAGCTAAAGGGAACACTTCGATCAATTATACATACGTTGTATGACTCACAAATCGATGAGTGTGGGAGTGAGAAGGATATTGTGTTGTACGGCAATACATATATTAATGAGGAATTGCTGGGGTTGCATTTCAAGATCTCACCACTGACATTCTTCCAAACGAACTCATTGGGTGCAGAAGTGTTATACTCGAAAGTTAGAGAGTTCATCCAGTCGACACCAAATGACACCGTCTTCGACTTGTATTGCGGGACGGGAACGATCACACAAATCCTCGCACCCGTGTGCAAAGAGATCACAGGCGTCGAGATCGTCGAACGCGCAGTTGAAGACGCACGGAAGAACGCGGAACTGAACAAACTGAAGAATTGTAAATTCATTGCCGGAGACGTCTTAAAAGTACTTGACAGCCTTAAAGAACAAAAGCCGGGACTGATTGTGGTCGACCCCCCAAGAGGTGGAATCAATCCAAAGGCTCTGCAAAAGATTGTTGAATTTGGTGCTGAACGAATTGTGTATGTGAGTTGTATGCCAACTACTCTTGTTAGAGATTTGGAAAAGATGGAGAGCAGTGGGTATAAATTACAGAAGGTGTGTTGTGTGGATATGTTCCCAAACACTTATCACGTTGAAACTGTCTGCTTGTTGAATAAGCAAAAATGATTTTAGATTTAAATGGTTTAATACTATTATCATATAGTTGATGTTGTTAATTATTATAATAGTAATAATAAATTATTACTCTTGTATAAGTATTGAAAATAGTATTATTTAACTATAATTGTTTTTGAAAAAACAATTTTTAAATAATTAAATTGAAATTATCATCAATTATAATAAGAAAAAATTATATTTTTTTAATTATTTTTACTATAAGATTATGAATTTTTTAGATAATTTTTTTCAAAATAACAAAACCTCAATATCTTTTTGAATCAATAAAATCTCTTTTTTAAACCATTTCTTTAATAATATTTAGAATAAAAAATAGTAAATATGACCTAGGCTTTTATTAAATACAATTTAGATTACAATTAAAAATTCAAACGTTTCAATTTGAGAGAAGAATGAAAGAATAAAAAGTGATAAGAAATGACCAGAATGACACTCTTTGTTTTCCAGAATATGAGAAAAAGGGAGGAAACACCAGAACGAATAAAAACATCAAGAAATGACTTAAAAAATAGAAAAAATCTCCACAAGAAATGACAAGGATCATATAAAAAGGGTTTTGAACTCGAAAAAGGCAATGAGTTGCGACAAGAATTGCGCTACATGTCCATCGAAGGGAGCATGCAGCCAACAACAACCAACGCCCGACACGTGTAGTCACAATTGTGATAGCTGTCCCTCTAAGAGCAGTTGCTCACAAGCTGGGAGTAGCGGGTGTACCCACAACTGTGCGACGTGTTCGCATAAAGGGAGTTGTGGTGGTGGGAGTGCTGGTCCTGATATAGAGATGGACGAGATAGTGGAGAAGATGAAAGGTATTAAACACAAGTACATAGTTCTTTCTGGTAAAGGTGGAGTTGGGAAGAGCACCTTTACAACACAGTTTGGGTGGGTATTGTCTGAGGACAAACAAGTTGGTATTTGTGACTTAGACATCTGTGGTCCATCCATTCCACAAATGTTCGGACAAGTCGGTGTTAATTGCACAGCGGGGATGACTGGGATCCAGCCGATTTATGTCACTGAAAATCTGTGCACGATGTCGATAGGGTATTTGACTACAACAGAAACAGCAATCGTCTGGAGAGGACCAAAGAAGAACGGCGCAATTCGACAGTTCTTACATGATGTCGAATGGGGAGATTTGGACTATTTGGTGTTCGATACACCACCAGGAACATCTGATGAGCATTTAACAATAGTCTCAATATTAACGAAATCAAATGTCGACGGTGCTATTATAGTTACAACCCCACAAGACGTGTCATTGATTGATGTGAGAAAGGAAATTAACTTCTGTAAGAAGATCGGTCTACCTATCATCGGTGTCGTCGAGAATATGAGCGGGTTTGTCTGTCCGTGTTGCCACAAAGAAAGTACAATATTCCCCCCAACGAATGGAGGAGCTCAGAAAATGTGCGAGGAGATGAGCGTCAAGTTCTTGGGACGTATCCCTTTGGATCCAGTCATAGCAAGGTCTTGCGATGTCGGATCACCTTATTTCATCGAACACCCAGACGCTGATGCAACTAAAAGCTTCAAGGAGATTTATAAGCAAATCATCGCAAACATCTAATTCATGAATTCTTTCGATTATCGTTATTCTAAGTGGATATCGCAACACTGTTACTTTACTAACCAAAAATTAGAATGTAACTATTTTTAACTATTTAGTTTTTCTTTAATAAATAACCTTAATTAAAAATATATAATATATTAATTAATATAAATTATATATCGATAGTATTTTAGTTATAATTAAACTATAATTAAACTATAATTAAACTATAATTAAATTATAATTTGAATGAAGAACAATAAGTTAAAAAAAGACGCGACTTCACTGAGAAGAGTAAAGTGCTTTATGACTTGATATTAATAGTAAAGATATTAACCCTAAAACTTTAAAAATAAAGAAATGCCAAAGAAAGAGAAGGTGAAGAGAGTCAAAGGAGAGAAGTCAACAAAAAAGTCGAAAGAGAAAGAACGCGCCGCGGAAGCGACGGGAGGGATGGTTGTCGACGATAACGGAGAAGTCAAATTTAACTCTCGTTCTGCTAACGCTGCTATTGTCTCTGTCGGGAAACAAGGAGATACCCCACATGCGTGGCCCGACTACGTCTTTTTGAAGGGAACGTCCTTTTCGAGCAAAAATAAAGATAAGGCGCGTGACATCAAAATTGATAATTTCACGTTACAAGTGCCTGGTAAAGTGCTTTTAAACAACTCGACTTTAACGATGGGATATGGGTCGAAGTATGGGTTAGTTGGTAAGAATGGTATTGGGAAGTCTGTGTTAATGTGTGCGATATCGGGAAGAGAAGCGGGAACCCCTTTTGCTAATATTCCAGCTAACATTCGTATACTCCACGTCCAACAAGAAGTACCTGGCAACGACTTAACTCCACTTGATACAGTCCTCCAAGCTGATGTTGAGAGAATTTGGCTGTTAAGTGAGGAGAAACGACTGTTGTCACAGAAGGACGAACATCACGAAGAAGAACATGAATCATCCGAAGAACACGCAGAAGAGCATATAGAACCGCCTTATGATATCAACGACATCTACGATCGAATGAAAGAGATAGAAGTGAACAAAGCGGAACCCCGGGCATTAAAGATATTGAAAGGTCTAGGGTTTCAAGAGGATGAGATGCGTAAAAAAAAGACGAGCGAATACTCAGGAGGGTGGAGGATGAGAATTGCGTTAGCGACGGCGTTGTACTTGCAACCCGATTTGTTGATTCTCGATGAACCGACGAACCACCTTGACTTGAACGCAGTCATTTGGCTCGAACATTACTTGATGGGGTGGAAGAAGTCACTTTTGTTAGTCTCCCACGACACTTCATTCTTAAATAATGTCTGTGATCACATCGTCCACTTCACGAATCAAACGCTTACTTCATATCGAGGGGACTATGCTTCATTCTTGAAGGCTCTTGAGATGAAACAAAATCAAGAAGAGAAGAAGAAACGAATTGAGAAGGCGGAGAATCAAAAAGCAAAGAAGAAGGGAGAGGAGAAGAAGAAAGAGAAGACGCAACTGACGAAGCAAGAGAAAGCCGTAAAGGAGCTTGAGGGGAAAGCGCCCGTGTTTGAGTTCCCGGACCCTGGAGACTTTGAGACGTGTGCAGTGCAATTTGATGAAGTGTCATTTAAGTACGACACTGCGAAGACGGAGATCTTCAGAGACCTCCAATTTGGGATATACATGAAGTCCAGAATTGGTCTGGTGGGCCCGAACGGCACAGGGAAGTCCACATTGATGAAATTGATTGATGGGGAACTTAAGGAAACGACTGGATATGTCGATAGGAACAGACAGTTGAGAATTGGGCGATTCCATCAACACCACGTCGACGATTTACCAATGGACTTGTCATCGATTGAGTACATGCAGAAGTCATTCCCATCAGCACAAATACAAGAGATCCGACAATTCCTCGGGAGATTTGGATTGAAGGGTGATACCCCAAAACAAAGGATCGAAACCCTTTCTGGCGGTCAGAAGAGTCGATTGGTGTTTGCAGAAATCTGTTGGAAGAAGCCACATTTGCTGTTACTCGATGAACCAACAAATCACTTGGACGCAGACTCTATAGAGTCGCTGATTGATGGACTTAAGAACTTTGGAGGAGGACTGTTACTCATTTCGCATCACCAGCACATGATCGAAGCTGCGACCGATGAAATTTGGGTGGTCAAAGGAAATAACACCGTTGAAAAGTTTGATGGAGACTTTAACGACTATAAACAGATGTTGCTCAAAGGAATGGACTTTGGGGAAGAAGAGGAAGACAAGTGATTTTTATTTTTTGTTGTTTTAATGTGATGAATAGCATGAGAATATGGAGAGGTGCCATCTAAAATGGACTCTATCTATTTATAGAATACCTTGATATAGTAAAATAATAGAGTATTTTACTATAATAATATAGTAAATCGAAATTATTCAATTAGTCTTTCTTGATGGGTTCTGGTGCTTTTCCTTGTGGTAAGTCGAAAGGTAAAAATCCTAAGAAAAGTGGGAGATCGTTTGGTACATGAAGAGCCTCATGCCAATTATTCAAGAATCCCTTTGTGAATGGAAGTGGTATCTTAAGAGTCTTCTGTCTGAAGACATTGGAGATATAAACAACACTCTCCATGATAGTCAAATTGGTCGAGAAACAAAACGATATTGAGGCGATTTGGAACATCATGACCAGAGTGATATTTGCGAAGAAAAGAGTCATGAACAACACAATCCAGAATGGGAACAATTCAGTCTATTTATTAGTGTCTATTTAATGTATTGGAGTCATGTGAATAACAAACACCATAGTAAAACTTCCATACGTAGTATAAATGAATGTCACAAATTAAAACACCTTGGAAACAAGCTAACATAAATTTGAAGAAGTAATGTGCGTTGTGGTATCCAATACAATTTGACATCCAAGCACAGTGATCTGTAAGTTAGTCTTGTTTTAAAATAACATAATAATAGTATATTATGATATATGACTGAATCAATACTATGAGATGATGAATAACTACACGGTATATATAATATATACTATAAATAGAGTGTATTTATATATATATATACTACACATATAAGAATACATTGTTTTATTATGAAATAATGGTGTGACTATTGTGTAATAATGTGTAACATGTAACAAACGGTCATATTTAAGAATACACTTCTTACAAAATCCACAATGGTGTGTTCTGGTGTACTTCTCGTGTTTACAAGACTCACAATAAGTGTCAGCGTCGTACGCCTCTATCTGTATATTAAATATTACACTCTCCGTTGTTTAAAAGTTATCATAACATTCTACAAATAAAATACACAAACTCTAGGATACCCCATATCAAAGAGTACAGGTACAGCAAAATGACACTTGAAAAGGGACCATATCATTTCATAGTAAGTCAGATGAAGCATTATCCAATACCAGAATATTCTTTCAGGGACACTCCACACGGTGTAATAAAAGTACCTGTCGATGACATAAGTGCAAAAGAAGTATAACACTAACAAGATGACTGGTATTAACATCCATAAGTACCCAACAACAACTAACATCCCATTCATTAGCTTCGCTGGAGTGCCTTTCATCTTCTTAGCCTTTTCGTCGAAATTTTCACAGTCGATCATTTGAGTCGCCTTCAGTGTGAACTTGTCAACTTTGTGTTCATCCACAGCTTTTGCTTGAGTTTCTTCTATGTTTTGAACACTTTCAATTTCTTCCTTTTTGTCTTCTAGAATTGTTTCAGTTGTTGGCTTTTCCTCTTTGGAAATGTTTTGTGGCTGATTCTCTGAAATGTTTTCCATTCGATTTTTTAGTTCAATTTTCATCGAAAATAATTGATAGTCGAAATTCAACTAATGTGTTATTTAATAATTTAATAATTTAATAATTTAATAATTTAATAATTTAATAATTTAATAATTTAATAATTTAATAATTTAATAATTAAAAAAGAAACTATAATAGTAGTTCGATGAGTCAAGCACATAAACCACCACGGTTCACTATTGGTACCCGTAAAACACAAGCCCAGCGGTCTCAAATGAACAGCAACGTTCCAATCATCGAGCAATTAATTCAACGCCCACAGCCAGTCAAAAAGTCAAATCCTGAAATTGAGGAAATCGAGAAGAAAACAAACGAACTCAAAAATATCGACTTAAAAGAACTCGACAAGCGTTGTCAGTTAATAGAAGACATCATTTCACAAATTGAAAAATATCAGATAAAGAACAACGAGGAATTAACTGCTATCAAAACGGCTGTCGAGAACCAGAGCCTTGCACTCGAGCAAGTCATCCAATAATCATATGTTTAAGTATAGTTTGTCAATAATATTTTTATTATTTTGATATTTGCTCTTTAAATAAAAAAACAAACTATTATTATGGTAAATCTATTAATTAACTATTATAATAAACAATTTATTATTTAAATTAATTACTTATTATACTATAATAATAATAATAATAAGTATAATAATATTATAGTGTTAATAAACCATTAATTAATAAATTAAATTATTAAAAAGTATTATTTTATTTAATTAAAAATATACTATTACAATAAAATAATACAATTATAGTTTTTTAATAATACAATAATAGTATCAAAGGAAAGAGTAAGAACTAGAAGGAACGACAAAATAGTAAATAAAGTAGCAAATGGGAAATGAAGTAGTCTTTCCATCACCGACACTTGCGTTTACTGGGATAGGCTGTTGCTGTCTTATTTCATTAATAATTCTTTTTGATTATTACTTCTATATAGTTAAGAACCAATTTGCGATGACAAAGACGCGAGCGTTTTATTACTTCATGGCGATTTCGTTTATCGGAGGTTTGTCTTACGATTGGAAACGATCGAACACAACACTAAAAGAACAGTTGAAACAGCGACGAATGGGTTATTTTATGGAACGCCGAATGTGTCGTGTTTAATATTTCTCGGACAGCGGTCTGGGGAGTGTATGATGCCGTTGATAGTGTTATTCTCCTTTTTCATTTGGACGTACGACTTCTTTTTGTTTAGGACATATGGGACGAACGCAAGTGGGTTAATCAATCACACGTGGCAAAGTATTATATCGTGTGTAGCTGGAGTGTTTCTGATCGTTCAAATTGCATTTGTGTCAGCTGTTATACAATATAACACTCCATATGACTGTACGGTTTGTTCTAAGTGCTTCAAAGATGATTCTTAGAGTTATACAAGTGACCTCACGACAAGCCAGAAAACCCACATTTGTCACCACTGTATTATACGACATATACTGTGACTATTATAGGTTTGGTCCTTCTTGTTTCCCTTTACAAGTGATGATGGAACGAATCAAAGTAATAGGTAGAAATGATTCTCTTTGTCATCTTCATAGTCGTCTATTTCGTGTTTTTCATTCTGCGTCACAAGAATTTCAAAGTCTCGTTTAAAACAGCGGAAGGGAAACAGTACATCATTTTCTTTGTGAGAGTTTGTTGGTGTCATAAGCATTGAAAGGTACTGTTTTCTACAGACAATGTATTGACTAATAGTTTGCTGTTGCAACTATTATACTCCTCGTGTCGTTGTTACTGAAAATAGTGGCATTTTTGGTCACCAACGAATACGCCTCTATTGAAAAACAAATCTTCACAAACCAAGTCCCTCTTGTTATCCAATTTGTAGCGCAAAGTTTGTGCCTTTTTGCAACATCTCTATCATTTGTACAATATTAATTAGTATTTATCGGCATATAGAAAGTACTCAATAACAGCAATACTCACTTTCAATACAGCAGGCTTTGTGGAGCAAACGCCAAATTACGATAACTTAAATTCTTCTTTTTAATTCAGTAATTTCGAGTTCTTTACACGATTCAATGATGTTCGATTGAAAATGAAAGATTGTACTCGAGTAATAATTTAAGAACTATTATTGTAATAAACAAAAAACAAATCCTATTTAATTAGGATTTTATTTCATTTCATTTTTTCAATTCAAAATAATTCAATTCGTTCAAAAGTGTGAAATAAAAATGATAAAGTCAGTACTGTTATTAATCTTGGAAATTAGAAAAATCTTGGGTAATTTTTATCGGTTTTAAACGTATTTTTAACTATTAAAATAACAAGAAATAAAAGATCTTCACTTTGAAATTGGAACCAAAAAACACAATTTTTGAAATACAATTCTCAATAAATACAAGTGTTTTTGTTTTTTTCAAAGTGTACTATAAAATATAGTAACATAATTATTGTTTGTAATACAACAAATTTGTAAAACACAATTGGTTTTCCAAAACCATAAGTAAATTGGCAACATCAGTTTTTTAATACCAATTTATAATTGTCCCTTGAACCAATAAAATACTATTGTATGTAATATAACAAACTATAAACAATAATTACTTGGTTAATGAAAAAATAATAAAAGAACAACTTCAAATACAACCACTTTTTATCGCAATATGCCATACACTACGAACATACAAAATAATGTTTTTGAAAATGGTAAGTTGTGTGGTAAAAAATAGTATCACTTTCTTTGTTATACATGAAAAAACATAAGAAATGGTAATACAATAGTTTGCAAATTATAATTGACTAGTTTAAATGAACAGTCAGCACTTGAAGGCAATGCCGACTCATTGGTGCCATTCTTATATAAAAATACTTCCAAAAGAATAGCTCGGATTTTACCACCGAGAAACAAGACTGCTAAAAATATCGACTCAAAACGATGAAAAATTTTTGAAATGAAAAGAAAAAGTCGAGAACTCGATAAAGAAAGGTCCTATGAGTGTTTGTTGTTTTTAACGCTCTCCAAGTTGCATGTACTTATTAGTAGACCCCTAAGAAAGTGTGTGGGTGGGTAGAGTACCGTGTCAGTACTCAAAAGAAGTTCAGCAAAATGTATATGTCGTTGTCTCACGACGCGTTGCGGTTGTACGCCAGTGAAGACTCGAAAGAGAAGTTAGTTCTCTTGTTCACTCAAGCTGTATTTAACAAAAAGATATCGAACAAAAACAAATTCCCTGAGGACAAGATAGCCGTTTCCTTTGAAGTTGTCACCGACAAATGTCACCAATTCATCTGTCCCTCTAAAAAAGATTTTAACCTTTGGATCAACAACATTCCTTTGTTCTGCAACTTTACTGGCGTTTTCGGGTATCCGCTGCTCTCGACTTCTACGAAGAAAAAGAGTGGCTGGAGGTTTCCAATTCCTTTGTACCGGTCCATCGAATATATCAAGAAAAAAGAGGGGTTGAAGGAACCAAACTTATTTAAGAACCAAGGCAAACAAGAGTGGGTCAATCGATTAAAGTCGATGTTAGACTCCGGGCAAGACGTGTGTGAAAATGACTTTGGGCCTGAAGGTGTTTCTGTAGCGGCGTCCATCATCAAATTATATATCTCCGAGTTGTCTGATGGGTTGATCCCCTCTGCACTCTATCAACAATTTGTATCTGCGGGAAACACCGACAATGTCAGCACTCGAGTGCGTGTGTTAAAACGACTTATAGCAGCTTTACCCGACTCAAACAGACACGTCTTGTGGTATTTCTGTGACTTTTTGAATGATGTTATTAAGAATGAAAAAGTGAATCGAATGGGTGTCGTTGATATAGCCGCTGTCTTTGCACCCGACATCATTCGTCCCGACGTTGAAACCCCAGTCGACCCGGAAAACACTAAACGCATTCAAGTCGTCATGGAAACGTTCTTGACACAATCGAAGGTCCTTGCAGATGCCGCGTCAGAGAATAAAAAGATGGGAATGGCATCTCCGTCATACCCTGCCGTCAAACCGACGGGAGCAGTCTCTGAAAAGGTCTTTGCGACACAAGTTGCGGAAGAATCGAAGAAGTTGACTCCGTTCAAGAAAAGAGAGCCAACCGGGGAACGCCCGAAGACGACGATGTTCATGTCGATGTCATTGAGTGGGATGTTGAAGTCGAGTGGGAAGACTTCTCCAAGGCATTTACATAAAGAAGACAGTGGGAGATCGACAAGGAAAGACGCCGGGTCGACGCCCAAAAATTCGAGTTGTGATGAGTCTGTTAATAACAAGAGTGAAAAGAGCGACACACAGAACGAGGAGCGATTTGCGGCACTCGAGAAGATGATCAGCGACTTGAGTAAAAAGGTTGATGAGCAGAATAAAACGATTAAACAACTGAACGAGAGAGTCGCTGAATTGGAGAAGAAGAGTGTAGCGCGCTCTTCACTGTCGAGTTCAATACAAAAACAGAAGGAACTTGTCAAAGCAAAACAGAGTGCAAAAGAAGAGCAAAAAGTTGAACCACTCGACTTCGCACAAATCAGAAAGAATTTCGGGAAGTCACAAGACAAACTGAAAGTCGAGACTCCAAAGCAAGAAACCAACAGAGACGAAGCTAAGACTCCCACCCAAAAGGTCGAAGAAAAAGGTAATGAACAATTAAAAGATGTTCAAGACGTTGTTAACGAGACTAAAGTCAATGAAAATGAGTGTCCAAGTGAAGAGGTCAAGAAAGAGGAAATGGGTGAGAACCAACCACAAGGAATGGCCTCGTTTGCACCACTGAAACCAATACATCGATTCAATTTCTCAGAGGCTATTACCGAACAAACAGCTCCAGCAGATCAACAGGAAATGCCAAACCAAACAGAAGAGCTATCAGCCCGGAACACTGAAGTCGGCTCAACATTGTAGTACAGCATGAAATTACATCTTTTGAATATTTACTATTAAGTTATAATATCAATACTATAAATGTATAGTTAAATCCCGTTTTTTGACATGATATGAAATATCTTATTCAAAGAAAGTGCCACGTGAGAGTAAAAGAGTGCAAGATGTCAAAGGAAGAGAGATGAAAGAAAAATCAATTTTCTTTAGGCCATTTATGAGACGTAGATTCAAACACATCAATCCACTTTTGAGGCTCGCCTTGGACATCCTCCAATTGGTAGTCTCTCCCGGGCACTCTAATAACGAACTGCGATCCTTTGACCAAGTGGACAGTAGTCTTTGAACTCAGAGGTATTTCACCCTTAATATTTGGGGTTTTTGCGACGGTGTAGAAGAGCCGTGGTAAGTCTGTGTATATCAAGTCACGTTTCTAGGAGTCAGCCGATGATTGTTTGATACCAAACACAAGCCGTTTTAGTAATAGAGAGTGAAGATATGTGATCAAAAAATGGAGTACAACAAACGTTTCTCGACAACCCTTTTCTCTTCCAAACTTGTCTATACAAGATGACGTGTTCGCCTTCTTTCAGTAAACCCGGATATGTGAAATTTTCGACTTTTGGGACCGCCAATCCCGGCTCGAAAGGTGGAGGCGTTTGATTCTTCAAGTCGTCGAATTTGGTCCCACAGAAGAATGGGTGTGTTTCCAACTCCTCGAAGTTTTTGACACCAACTCGCGTGTTCATATCGACTTGCATCAACTTTTGGCAAAGGCTCATTGCGTTGGGCGGCATGTTGTGCGGGTAGGAAGGACTTGCCGCATTGATTGCGTCGAAGGTGAGTTTGTCGGACTTCCCTCTGAACGGGAATTCGCCGGTCAAGAACTGGAAGAGCATACACCCGATCGACCAATAATCGACTCCTTTGTTGAACCCAACAGCTCCGTTGATAATTTCAGGAGCAACGTATTCGGGGGTACCAACAAAACTCGATTTGCGGGGAGGGGCTTCGGGCGATTGCACACAAGCCGTTCCAAAATCAGTGATTTTGACGTGCATTGTACTACTCAACAGGACGTTTTCGGGTTTCAAGTCCCGGTGGATGATGTGGAGGGAGTGAAGATACTTGACTGCGTACGAGATCTCTGCTATATAAAATCGAGTTACTTTCTCACTAAAGGAGCCATACTTGTTGAAATAAAATTTCAGGTCTCTATTGGGGCATAACTCCAAGACATAGACTAACAAATGAGTATTGTATATTTTGTTATGTAGTACCTTATAAATGTGTTTTATTAACAAATAAAATTCATTGAATCATAGGAAATGAGATAGTTACATTTATAGTAAAATTATTATAAAAATTAGTAATCAACAAACATAGAGAAGTCTCATTTTGGAAGGTGTAGAATAACTTAACGATGTAACTGGACTGACACATCGACATGATGTCACGCTCTCGCTTAACAGTTGCATGTTTTTTCAATCGAATGATTTGACTTTTGTCAAGGATTTTTGTTGCGAATTGCCGCCCGTCGTCTTTGTCTGTTGTGAGAACTACAGCACCAAAGGAACCTTCACCCAAAGTATCTCCAAATATGAAATTGTTTTCCCTCTTCGCCATAAAGACTGTTTTGTAATTTTTTAGTTTGGGTTAAGAACTCTGTTATTATTTCATTAAAACAGTTATGAACTCTTTTCTATTTCAAAGTTGTTTCTATTTTTTGATAATATAGTTCTATAATATATAGAACTTCCTTGTAAAATTAAACATCGTTGTTTTATAGTTTCTATTTTTATTAATATAATTTAAGAAACAAAAATGAAGGATTTTTGATGAATTTCTTTATTTTAAATGGGATGATTGGAATACTGGTTGAGCAATTTCAAACGACACAAAAATAAAAGTGTGTTTTGCTATTTTAATAATTTGGGTTTTAATTATTAGTTCTATTTAATTTATTTGTTTGTAGTCTTATAATAATTTATAATGTTTGTTTTTACCAACAAATAAGAGTAACTTTTTATTTGATAATTGAAAGTATTTATATCTAGTAATTTAATATTTATAAATTTTATAGTTATAATTATATTTGTGAAATTAAAAAAATATAAAATGTTAATTGTAATTTTGTTATTAATAATATTGTTATTTTATAAATTAAAATAATCTAATTATAATCACCATTAAAAGAAAAAAAGTTTTTGTTGTAAAATTAATTGAACCAAATCGAACTCAAAGAAAAATTAAAAAAACATAGTTTGTATTTAAAAATAATAGTAAAAAACAGAGATTAGTAATTTATTAATAACTTATTATTATATATATAATAAATTGTGTTAATAAAAAAACTAATTTTTTGCAACAATTTGTATTTTTAATTTGATTATTTTTAATTTATTTGTAATTAAATTCATTATAGTTTATTTTATTGTTCAAATGTCAATGAACTAATTAAATACACAAATGACACTCCAATCGGCCTCTTAAAAAGAGCATTAAAATGTCTACGTGGAAAAGTTACAGATGACGACTTAATAAAGCTATTAGTAAGGAACAACATAAAGAAAAGAAAATAACTAATGTGATTGAATTTATAAATGGAAAAATCAACTCATATTATTTCGAGAAATGGGAAAAATTAAAAGATGCTGGAGTACTTGCAAAAATGTTGAAACACCAAATGTGTGAGAGAAATATTGTGGGAGCAGCGTGGAAGAATATTAATATAAAACGAAATGCGTTTTTACAGGTAGTAAAAATGCAAGAAAGAGGTGTATATTGTGGACCTAGAAAAGCAGCAATAACAAAGAGGAAAAATGATTCATTCTGTTATTGTTGTAAAAACAAGGTAGCATCAATTCCACACATTCTACTATCTTGCCCAATGACAAAAAAAATCACAAATAGATAGACACAACAAAGTGTGTAAGGAGATTCAGTGTGCTCTCCTAAAAAGATTGCAATTAATTCCAGAAGAAGCCACTCTAAATACACTCCCAAAGTGTATTTCGGACAAGGAAGAGAAAAATATAGTAATGTCTGAGAAAAATATTTTAGATGATGATAGACAAAGATTTGCCCGTAGACCAGACCTCTACTGGCAAAACAATGTTGAGAAAAAAGGATATATTATCGATGTTACAATAGTGAAAGATGAAAATTTATCTCTTGCGTACTTCAGGAAAGTTGTCAAATATGCCACCCTTAACTAAAAAATTAGAAATGGTAGGAACATGAAAAGTGTGACAACAATTCCTGTAGTATTAACAACAAGCGGACTTATCAACAAACTCTCAGTAGAAAGATTAGAGAAACTACTTAAAATCAAATTGAACTACTCCAAAATATTGAGAGATGTAACAGTTTCGTGCATAAAAGACCTAATATCGTACCTGAACCATGGGAAAGCTTCGTATGAAATAGAATTATCATCCGATGTCTTTGAACATGAAAACCTTGTGACAACAGAAACAAGGGGCGAAGAAACGGGTAATAGAGAAAACCCCTCTGAGCTATGAAAACCAAAATCAATAAAAATGGAATTGGAATAACATAATTGACTTCTCACGTGTGTTCATTATAGTTTATTTTATTGAATACAGTAAAACCTCCCAAGAGCGGTACCTCTCAAGAGCGGGTTCTCTCAAGAGCGGGCATTTTTTAGACTAAAACTAAAAATAGAGTTCTCTATCGAGTGGTAATTGAGGTTTGATTGGCTAAAAATGCCCGCTCTTGAGAGAACAAAATTCCCACGCCCTCCCGCTCTTGGGAGGTTTTACTGTATTTGTTTTAGTAATAATAATAATAATAGTGTTATATTATAAAATATTAAAAATAAAGAAATAATCTATATTTTTTAATAAAATTTTAATAAATGACAATTATATTTAGTTTGTCTGTTTTACAAAAATAATTACTGAAGTAATGAAGTTGTTTTTAAGTAATTAAAACAAAAAAAGCAAACAAATAATTAAATAATAAAAAACAATACAAAACCCGTTTAATGAAAGAAATCCCAGCTAAAACCCATTCCAATGAATTGTCGAAAAAACATCAAATAATTTTTATCGTCTTCAATCCACTCCATTGTACTACAAAAATTCTACTTGCTTTAAAAAGAAGGACTAAAAAAGAAGACGATGTATTCATTTCTTAACATCCCTCCAAATTACCCACCTCACAATTGCACCAATTACAGACAAGTGGATAGATTCACACAACCTTACACTCACACTACAATCGACAAAGTGCCCTTTCCTAAAGATAAGAACTACCGCCCACCACAAATTAGTCTCTCCACACAAACCATATTCCGGTACAGAAACTTCACTATGACACTAACGATGTCCGAGGATTGGCGTCGGTCACATGGCATTCTTCCAGAGGATGTTATAAAGTGTGCACTAGCAGCGACCTGTCACAAAGAAAGTGTAATAGAGACGCATCAAAGTGACGAAGTCAAACTCTGTAAAGTCTGCCAATCGGAACGACGCATTATAGAAATCGACCATAGCGATCAAAGCCAAATTGGCCCGGTCACCACTGCGGATGGCTTAGAAAAGTACACGTTCAACAAATGTAAGAGTTTCTGCTCTTCGTCGCGCAACCATCACCACAGTCGACTTTGTATCGTCATATCGGGATTGCCGGACGGGCCGTTTTACTCTGCGCCGTTTGTGTTACAAGCGCGCGAGAAGAGGACGACCAAAACGGAAGGCCAACAAGACGAGAAAGATGACAAAGAAGGGTTGTCCCCGACCCCCGAGGAAGACATGCCGTTCATTAAAGAGGAAGAACTGATGAAAGTGGAAGAGGTGATCCAAGACGAAGTAGATGTCCAACATGAACTTGCTGTTGTAGTTGTGGTCCACTTTAACACTAACGACTTTAAAACAAAAATTGGGAAAGGACTGTGTGAGCGGATGGAGAAAATTGAAGGCATTCAATGTGTTCGAATGCGCGAAGGTGGGTTAGTGGTGTTTGTTGTGGTCTTTGGGGTTGAAGGGAAGGTCGACCGCCTGAGTGAGAAAGTGCGGGAGTGTGCTGAAAAGTATTTTAAAAATGACGGAGTAGAGAATGGGTGGCAAGCCAATCTGTTAGAAATTGGCGTGGTGAGTAAATACATTATAACCGATAACAGGGGATGACTCCTCCATTTTTTAAGGAGATAAGAAGAGATATTAAGAGTCAAAGTATTTGTGAATAACTCGGCGTTTATAAGTCTTATTTGTATAGTACTTTTATAGCTTTTGAAATCCATAAATAGTAATTAGTTAAGAACATGAAGAAACTTGAAAATCGAGTGAAGAGGGATGGCTGTCACCAACGCTGGGAATCCACTGAAAGATGTGATAACTTCTGATTTCAAGCTTGATGCGCGTTATTTGCAATTTCGAGATTTAGTCGGTGTAGTCGACAAATTAGTGAAGTCGAAGGTAGAGACCTTTCCTAAAGAATTGAAAGAAAGGCGTGACATCATATACACGGAATTGGAGAAGATCCAAGAAGAAAATCTCCATCGGAAAGAGATCACCAAAGAAGCTATTGGGTTAGCAGAGGACTGTCGGAAAATGGCGAAATTAGTCAAGAATGTCTTCTTGTGGTGTGAGGTGGAGGGAAACACGTTGATGCAAAAGAACAATTCTTTAATTAAAGACCTTCTTGTTGTCGAAGACAAGATCGCGGCGAATCAAATAGCACAGAACCCGGAAGACAAAGCTAAAGTGATGCGGGAACTTGAAATGAAGAAGTCTGGCCTTCGCGGGAGACTTATTGAGAAGAAATCAAAAGACGCTGAGAAGAGTAAAGACCACAGAAACACGGAGAACAACAACTCGAAACATCAAAAGTTGAATGGATTAAGCAAAGAAGAAGTCACACAACTCGAGGACTGGACTCAGATGCGAATCGGGCAAGTCGTATTTGATGGGGAACATGAGAACTGGTCGACTGGTACTTCTGTCTTTGACGCAAAGATTTATCATAAGAGGAATTTGGTATTTGTTATAGAAGATGCCAACGGGAACAAGTTCGGAGGGTTTGTGAAGTCTGAAATTGATACCATCGGGGGTGGTATAGTCGACACAGGCTCTTTCTTATTTTCATTAGCTTCAAATGGACGATTTGACTGCATGCAAAAGTTTCCAATCAGTCAAGAAGGCGCGTCGCGAGCGTTTTGGGTGTGGCCAGCAAACAACTGGTGTTTGTTACAGTTTGGGTTCTGTGGGGATGACATTAGTATAGCAAAAAAGAGTGAAGTCTTAGGGTCGAGTTGTACACAAAGTGCTTACATTTACCCCGAGCCTCTTTCTCTCTGTGGAAATTCGAATTTTGATACAACAAATATCACTGTTTATCAAATGATGTGATGTTTAATACTTTAGTTAGTTTATTAGTATCTTAATAATAATAATAAATTTAGTTAGTGTATTAATTAGTATTAGTATTAATTAGTATTATTATTATTAATTAGTATCTAATTAATAATAATTAATTATAAAGAATTCAATGAATTACTTCTTCGGAGTAGTTGGAGAGAGTAAAGCCCCATTAGTATTAGTTCTCTTCACTTGACTCTTCCTCATAAAGGCTTCTTCAGCAGCTTTGAGTTCCCCAGTGATCTTCTGTGTAGTAGTGGTTGTCTGGACTTTAATAAGTTTTGACTTATCTTTCTCTTGAGACTGTTGTACCGTCTTCTGTTGGGACTCAAATTCCGTTAATTTTTCTGTGGAAATTGCAGAAGAAATTGATTTAGAGAAGATCCATTGGACTATCCCACTTCTGCACTTCACATTTGAATATTTGTCTGAGAAGTCTTTCAGAGCGATTTTTCGTGTTTTAAACGGTGATATTGAGTCGAGCATAACATTGTGGATACAAGCGAATCGCAAGACATCACCAAGACCGGAGAGCAACATCTTTTGGAATGGTAATAAGATGGGGGAGTTCTTCGACGCAAAGACATTAAAGACTCCAGATGGTAATGGGACGACATGAATGACTAATTTGTCCTTTTCGTCGTCACACACTTTGTCTGATATACCCCATCGGATCACTACTTTGTCTTCTTTACATTGCGTTGGGATGACTACATTTGAGTGACAGACCACATCATATTGATAGTCTTGGTACACTATCAATTGCTCGGCTTGTTCATAGCCAGACACGTCCCCTTCAAACCCAGACTTCGTTCGAATCTTAGCAAACTGTTTCAAGAACTTCATGAAATTCTCCGTGACTCCACTCTCGCAATTGTCTATAGTCACTCCTACATGTACGTGTGACTGCATCTTGTCGATTGTATCTAGAGCCTCTAAAGACTCGTGAGACACTTCTAAAGGTGTCAAGCGTTCTAAACTCTCTGGTGCAAACAATCCCATTGAAGCCACAAACATACGCGCAGCGTAGAATTTAGTCGCGTGTTTAATTTGCATGACATTGTTGTACAGCACCGATGGCACCTTTTCAATATGTGGAGGATTCATTCGAGTCACAACTTCACTCAAGAAGTTAGTTGTGTCCAACGGTGTGACTGAATTAAGAGCACTCAGCTCTTCTAATACTTTCTGGTCTGGGACTACAATCGACTGTGGCGGCATCTGTCTTTCTACACTGTTCACTTCTTGTGGGTAATTCAGAGTCACAGTGTCTTCTATTTCCTTAAGAGAGAGGATATATGACTTCTTGCCTACACCGTCTCTGTTGATCACTACAAACTCTTTGAGTCCACTTGAATTTCGATAAGGAAGTTCTATGAAGGAGAGGAGTGCCTGGCCTTCTATAGAAGCAATGAACATGTGTTCGAGGGGGGTAGTCACCCCGTGTGCCATTAACAACTTCTCAAGTGCCGACTCTGAAATTTGAGAGTTGTAGAGCTCAGAAGAGAACGTCGGTGCATTGATGAAGCGGTGTTGGTACATCAAAGTGATTGAATAGTTCAACGCAGTGACAAAGGCATGTGCCTCTTCATAATTTGGATCTTCTTTTCCTTTAGTTTTATAGAAGGTTTCAATGGAAGTCAACTTCTTATATAAAACAGTCAGCGCGGTCATCTGTTGTTGCGTGACGCTCTCTCCCAATTCCGTGAAGTACGCGGTGAGTACTGGGAGGGCATCTGCAATGAGAGAGAGTTCATTTTCCTTCTTCCATTTATCGAAGAACTCGGAAAGAATAGTAAAGACCTCTGCCAAGAATTCTTTAGTATTAGGAATGTACTTGGAGTACTGAATCAATAACTTCACAACGTCGAAAATAGCTCTTCTGTTCTGTGGAAGAGTATTTGAGTTCAATAAGATGCCTTGGTTATAGTTAATGACCTTCACAAAGTACCACGCTAACTCTCCTGGAGTCTGTGGAGCACGTGTATTAACAATATCTGGGGTGAAGTCGTTAGCTGGTGTTGAGTTGTGTTGTAAGTGTTCTATAAAGAAGCGATGTAAGACGGTGAGTACTTCATAGACATTAACTGCGTCTGTTTGATGTTTTAATATCAAATACAAATTGAGCATCACTAAATATTGTGTTGTATACTTCTTCTCGACCTCTTCTGTCTGTTCGGGAATGAACTTGACAACAGCTTCTGGGGTATATGAGGCACAGGATGAGATGATGTTAATCATCGCTCCACGTAACTGGACAAAGACAGGGTCTTTCAATAAGATAGCTCTATGAATGGCGTAGAGAACAGTCTTTGATAATATCTCAATACCATCAAATTGCTTGTCGAGTATCAAGTTGTACAGTTTCAAAGCGACTGCAAGCACCTTATCGCTTTCGCTTGACATCGCAAAGGAAATTGCGTGATAGAAATGCTTCAAAGAGTGTTCTGTGAATGTCGTGAAGTCGTACGTCTCTGTGAAGATCCTCATCATAGCTTCTACTGCATGGACAACACCATTCTCAAATTTTGTATGTGAAGGTAATACAACGCACTGGAAGATGATGTTATAGACTCGAAGGATAGTCTCCCCAGTGCACTTCTTAGATATCATCAAATCGATTTGTTCGCCCAAAGCCATCACAACTACGTCAAAGACATGGGAGTTGTTACTCATCAGTGGTGACCCAATTAAGTGCAAAAATGTCATCCACATCTTGTGAGCGTATTGTGGAGGTATCACATTCTTCGTCACAACTTGTTCAGTAGTCCCTTTGTACTCTATTTCGCACTCAACACTACTATAAAGCATATCAACCAATTTTTGTGTTAACACATACATGAAGGTTCTCCACTGTTGAGCTACAGGAAGTAACACACTCCACAGCTTGTGATTGGTACACATTGAGTCCCACAGTGTTTTGTCTGTCGGTAAGAGTTTGATCCAGGCTCTATAGAGCGTGTTCACGACTCGTCCAGAGACCTCTTCGGCGAGACTCACCTTCTTGTCTTTAGCCTTATAGAAATTGGATGACACATTTGAGCTCATAATACTTGTGATACCTTGTTTGGGGGTGACAACTAGACTCTGTAACGCACCTATAAGAAGTCTTACTAAATGATCGATGTCAACGTGCTTATCCTCTAGTACCTTATCATAGATGTCAAGCACTCTATTTGAGAATTCAACCATCACGGGCGTTTGTTGTTGAGTCAACGTCCGTTGTGTGAAGATCAACGACAAGTGCTCGATCATGATGTTCAAGTACTTCTTCCAATTTGTCTTGACAACATCGGGAACACACTCAAAGAGCCATGAGTTGTATATCTTGATCGAGTTATCTATCGTCTGTGAAGATTCAACAGGAAGACCAAAAGAGTACCCCAACGACTCTAAAATGTAGTCAAAGTGCGTAGTCGTCTTGATCTTAGTGTTGAATGCAGAAATGTCCGTTATAATGTATTTTCCCATATTCGTTGAAATCAGGGTTTGAAGTGGTAAATCAAACATTTGGTACAGGTTCGACGTTTCCCCATACTCCATTAACTTGAGCTTCTGCGTAGCTTCGACAAACATATTGCCAAAAGTGGGATAAAGTTCTTGGAAACATTTTCAAGTTACTGGTCATTATTAATATAGTATTATTATAATTATTTTATAGTTTAATTGAATAATGGAAATTGGTTGAAATTCAAGGTAAATAAGTTAATAATTTGATTTATTGTTTTTTGGTAAGAATATAGTTTTTAATATAATAAATATTTACTATTAATTTTGTAGTTATTTTTATTATTTTAAAATAATAAAAATGTTTAAGTTAATTTATTTTGTAGAAAATAAAACAATGATAAATAAATTTAAAATTATAGTTTAATTAATTGATTATTTGAATAATAAATTTATCATAACTATTAAGTTTAATAAAAAAGATAATGAGAAGATTTCTTGTGTAGAATGAATAAACATTTAGTCGTGGTTTTTATGAGGAAAAATAAGTATGAAAAGACAACCACCTCTTAAAGTGACAAGAAACACCAGTGTCAAAAATAAGATGACAGAAAGAGAAACAGCTGAAGAGATGTACTTTGAAAACATCCGGCATAATATAAAGATGCTTGGGCTCCAACAATTACAAAAGAAAGGTGGTGTTTGTGCAGAGAAAGTTTAACAAAAGAAGTGTGTTTAATTAATCTCACAATTATCAATAATAAACCATTTACTTACTTTTATGGTTAAAATACTATGCCAAGATTTAATCAGTCAAAACTATTAATTAATAATAAAAATACTTATTTACTATAATAATAAAAGTATTGAATCTTTAGAACAGAAAAAGACAAAGGAGTGATGGAAGTGACAAAGGAGTCGGTGGACGAGTTATACTACCTCTTGGAACCATTTATTGACATTGTGACGATGAGAAACGAGGCACCCACAACAACATGTGTGCTAGCTTCAATGCACGATTTAGTGTACACATTTTTTTGTGACCATTACTGGGATACTGAAGGTATCGTCCTCAAAATGATTCAGGACATAGTATCTTCATTCTCTAAAGGACGTTACGAGAAGTTTAAGGCTGTGTCCGACGATAACCTCATCTTAGCACTTGAGAGTGAGTTCATCATCTGGAAAAGAGTCAGGAAGTGCTTGAAAACGACTTTTATGTCCGTCGACAATTTGGTACATTGCAACTACGTCAACACGATGTTAAATTGTGCGTACCGGGATACATTCATGAAACAGTCTCAAGCGGAGACAAGTAAGCGAATAATGGGGGAGATATCGAAATGGAGACTCAACGGGAAACGTCTCAAT